TCTTCTCATTATTTTTGCTTTATCCCAAATTTGTATTTTGCATCTCTGTGTCCGTTAGAGGCCACACAAACAATATCCTACGTGTGTCATTAGTAGGCCTGTGAAAATCATGTGATTTTAATTGCGTTGGGATCGGTCGGGTTCAGACACAAATATCTTAATGCCTGTCAGGCTCGGGTCAGATTCGATCACTGCTCAGTCGGGCGCAGGCTGGGCTCGGATAAAAAAATTCGACCCGATCCACACTCTACTGCACACAGCGCTCCTCTGGCTCATGTGCAAGTAGGTCAAAACAATCGTCTGTAAAAACCTGTGGGTACCCTTTGTCTGTGGGACAGTCCTTTTCTCCACGCTCGCACTTTAATAAAAACAAGCAGTAGTTTTGTTGTTGGCCTAAACTTTGCTTAAGTTAACTTTTATTTATAGTTAATATCTTAGATCTGACAGAAGCATTTAAAGCAAGCGCTTCGGTGCTGCCTCAAATCGCACTGGTGTAAACAAGTGCACGTGAGTGACGTGACGATCCTCTGGGGGTGCATTCAGGGGCAGTACTGCAAATACTGATGTGGAGCCACATATTAGGACATTTATCTGTCTGTAAATTGGATTAAATGAATATAATATACAGAGTCTAAGCTTCAAAAGGAGGTATAATATGCCCACATGGACTATCGGTCCATATCAGCTAAATTTTGACTGACAGCCGATATGTCTCAAAGTCTTCATATCAGCCAACCGATATGTTGGTTTGACCTAGTATTTTCTGTTATTACTTTTAGTGCATTGCATTACTGATGCAGTTTTAAATAGTTTGAGCTATTACTGGTCCAGTAGAAGATTTATACTTTTCAGCCTCAGATGCTATCTCACAAAGCCGGTGTTTTTCTCAAACATACAGCATGAACTGCCAGTGTGGCCATTTTTGTGTTGACACGTGGCTGTGGTTTTTTGAGCTACTGTGTCAGTGATCACATTGCCAGTGTGTACAGGGCCTTATTGTGAAGAAAGCTTTACCTCTGAGCACCTGACAAGAAAAGCTGAGCAGAGCCACAGCAGTGTGGTACATCTGATGATGAAAAAACCTCTTGGATTTTAAACTGGGTTTATTTAGGCTACATTTACTGTTATTTTACCTCTTTACAGTCATATTTAAAGACCATAGGTAGGCCTAATGGCATTTTTGATGACATTCTAGCATGTAAACAAAGTAAAACTACCGCTTAGCTTTTAGCAGATAGCCTAAATCCGTGTATGCAGCGGTAATTGATTAAATGCGTAACGCTATAGTCACTATAGTCACTTTTCAGTAGGCCAGTGAGAGAGAAAACAGACTGTTTATGTGTGATAGTTTATAGCAGCTAAGTGCTAACCAATGACAAAAAAAAAAGTTACTTCTAAACCAAGACATTTACAACACTTACCGCTCATACAGGCACCTCTCAAATCACAAGTTTCACAAATAAATGTCCTTTTAATCCTGCCTCAAAATGATGAGCTGTAAAACGAATATAACCCAGCATGTTGACAGGAGCTTTGTGTGTGTCCTGCCTATGGCGACTTTTTATCTGCTCCGCACTTTCACTTTGATAAAAACTGGCCTAAACTGTGCTGTTTATTTTATTTTATTTTATTTTTTAGACAGTGGGCCCGATCTTGCCCCTGATCTGAGTGCTAGCACAAGTGTGGGGCATGGAGCACTAAACAAGAGGTTTGCTGTTCCTTAATATCGGGTGGAGTGGAGCAGACTGAGGGCGTGATGTGCCGCGTTCAGCGAATTGCCAGAATTGTAAAAATAAATATCAGACTAGCCCACTGAAAAACAACGTGTAAAATGGTCAAGGCTTCTTTTATTTGGAAATACATTAGGATGATAAATGTTTAACATTTATGGACATCCTCCTGTGCAGGATGTCCGATTGCCCTCCCACAGCAGAGCACGTCCCTTCGCCCGCTCCCTGTATTGGCTCAGCTCTGGTCTATAGTTTGATTTGATCTGGATCTGTACAAAAGCTTCTCATTCACATGATGCCGTTTACAGCAACATCCTAAAGTGTGTTTTCGGAGCCTGTCTGCGGTTCTAATGCTGTGATGTCGGATTTTCTCACATCCTCATACCCTTCCTGTCGTCAGCTCCATTTAATTTCGTGACCAAATTATTCACATTGTGCTGCTTTGGTTAGTTTATAAAGTTAGGTAGGTTCTGATGATAGCCTACCAGTAGGTAGGCTATCATCAGAACTGTAGCGAAATGTGCTCGAAGCCATGGAGAGGCCAGATTCTGACAGGAATCAGCACACGCATTCATTGAGCTCGGGGCTGTGACAGTGGAGCCGAGCAGACGGATATCTCGTATGTTCTGTTCTCTTGGCAGCAGTGATCAGTAGAGGTTTGTACAGCGGCTCAAGATACATACAACACATGAGCACTGCTCTGTACAGAGACCTGTGCATCCTGCTCTGTATGGTCATGGCGCATATCAGTCACTTGTGCAGGGCAAGTGCAGGTCGTGCAGACACCCTCACCATGTGTTAATGGTTTAATCCATGTCAGTGCACAAAAGGGTAAAATCAGAAACATTTATATATAAATAAATATGAACAATAAACATATTCCATAATTCCTGGTCCTACCTGCGTGGGACCAAATGCCGTGGACACCCGTGATCGCATGAGGTAGAGACTGGTCTGCTGTGTAATGGGATGTAAATGAACAGAGGAACACAGAGAAAACTAAAAAGGTTTACATGTGTGCGAATGCAAGGACTTACAGGGGTGTTCAGAACACAAACCCAACCAGTTCTGTCACGGCCCATCCAAAATTCTATATTTCTAGCACCTCCTCTGGTGCGTACTTGCATCATGGGGCTCCGGAGTTGTTTACGCGCCCCCTCATTAATGCTAGCGCTAAGAAGGGGGGCAAGATCGGCCCCAGAATCTTAGATGAAACACAAGAGCATTTAAAGTCTGCGCCTCAGTGCTGTCTCAGAGCAGATGCTTGAGAGTCTGTGGTGTAAATGTGATTCAAGGCTCTGGGAGTGCATTGAGGTGCAATAGCACGTCACACAAAGACAAATTCATCCGTGGATAAATATTGATGTTGTGCCGTATATTTGAACATGTATCTGTCTGTAAGTTTGATTAAATGGACAGGGTATAAAGAGTCTAAGCGTTATAATGAGGTATAACATACTCATGCGTACTATCTATACTATAACCCATGTCTCTAAGGCTGCATATCGGCCAATAATATCAGCGAACCGATATATCGGTTGGTTCCTGTGTAGTAATAGTTTTAAAAACACACTTCTAGTTGATTTTAATGCATACGAATATGTGTAAAAGTAATCAAAAAAAGCATCTTATATTATTAAAATTTTAATGCACAACAGAATTCCAGGTTCATTTTCCCATACGCAGTCTGGGGAAATTTAAAATGACGTGATTAAAAGGTACATTTTGCGTAATACATCCCTTTAAAACTAATTCTGTTAACTATATTACTCAGTGAGATTGACGACTCTAGTTATTACCTGCAAAAAGACTAATATGTCTTTTAAACATGACTATTGGCTATTGGTTGAACATGTGAGCAAAATAGACACCCTGGTGAGCCAAGTAAAAATTTAGCAGCAAATTATGCTAGTCAGTTTTGCTTTTTACTTTTTTATATCATGCATATATGAGTGACAGAGTGTTCTGTTGAATATAAATAGTTATCCTGATTATTTATTATGATCAAAAATCTTAATAATTTCAGTGTCAACCCCAGTCCTAAACCACAATTACCACGAAGGTTCTGTCAAACAAAAACAAGCAGGTGAATATTGTGGTGTGCAGCTCGCTCACATTCTAAGTCTAAATGTGAAAGGAAGTGTCTCATCAGGGCCATAATGGCTGTATTCAGGGCTTGGTGGCACTAGGTCAGCACTGGGAATTTTTTACTTTCTTGTTGTAACTTAACCTTGAAGGCTGTGATGTATTTTACATTAGGGCAGTTGGTAGAATTTAACCAGAACCCGGCACACTTTTCATGCATTTGTATCTTACATTACTGGATTTTACCAGAGTTTTACCTTTTACTTAATGTAAGGTTTTTGTACATGATAATAGTAATGTAATAACAAGATTATTCCTTTGTGCTTTCTGTTATTTATTGATAGCTTTCACTAGAAATAACTGAAAATCAGTGCTTTCATCTCAGAAACATCGGAGTTATGGGATGGCAGTGTAGCCTTCTGTTGAGATGATACAGAGTGATAGAGGAATAGGGGGCAAGAGTAATTTACAGGGAAATAGTGAACCTGCTTCTATCAAGTAATTTTAGTGGTGTACAAGGAAAGAAGAGTTAAATAATGACTGAAATGTATTACACATTATTATAAAATATCAGGGGACAAAGCAAAATATGTTAATAACATTTTCACAAATTCATAGCTGTTGCATGCTATGCACTGACATTTGCAAGAGACATTCAGGCTTGTACTTTCTTGTGGAGTTTTTCATCTATAGATTAGAACAATAGGCCTAAAACAAAAGAATTTGAAGGTGACTGGATGTGGATTACTATGACAGTGCCTATATTTATATGGTTCATATGGTCTCTAAATTTGTAACTGGCCATCACCACTAAGGTCTAGGTTTGAGAAGACATTTTACCTTATTCAAGAGGCTGAACAGAGACTGCTGTTTTTATTGTAACTAGTACTGTGCTGATTTGACCACTTCACATTCTGACAGGATCAGAGACTCAAGTTATGCTGCAGTGTTACACTATGTAAAAAAAAAAGTTACTTATTATTACTTATCTTTGACCACAGAATTGAATAGTTGCTTTCCATCATCCTGTCCATGTAGTGTAACAGTATTGTTGACCTGTCCTGTCTCCCCCATGTGTCCATCCACCTCTGTGTCTGTTACTCTTTGTACAAAGCTGTCTGTAATTGTGAATAGAATTGGTAGGAAGACTGAAGACTTTCTACTTGCTTTTCCTCTCTCACCAAGGACTCGGCCTCCACAGACGACATGTGGTAACCCAAGCTCTGGCACTAACACAGCGTTTACACAGCACCACCTCTCCAGACCACAGCAGCTCGCTCAGAGGCCCTTGGACCTCTGGGCTCTGGGTTTTCAAGAAGGGAAATTAATGAGAGGAGGGAGGCGGAGATGCATGCACACCAACGTCTTAAGTGCTGCACCAGTCCACTCTGGATTCAGGATCCCCAGCGTCTTGTCTCCATCTGTCCTCACCTTATACTCTCCTCTAAAGTAACCCATAACAAGTGAGTCCTCAAGGTTTTCTTATTTTTGGTTCAATTATCCGCTTCAGTAGAAAGTTTATTTTTGCTGTAATTAATTTGATTCACATTTCTATTTGTGTGTGTTTGTATATTTCTGTTTTTGTGAAGTGCAATTGTCGTGTACAAATGGCCTGTATTTATGCAGCTTGATTTTAAGTTAAATGAAAAAGAGAACCTTCCATGCACTGTCTGCCTTTTTCTGCCCTTCTGGAACTGTTCCAAATGTCTGAGTGAAGACTTCTGCTTGCCCTTCCACCATACAGCACTTTCCTTTTCATTTGAACAGTTGTACTCTGAAGAAACGGGTAAATGTATAGTTGACAGCACAGTAAGCTCTCTGTACCACACCATTAACCCTGTGCTTTTATTGTATTTTTATTTTTCTATGTGCATTTGTCAACATGCTTCTACTGAAACTTTGTTAGAGAGAGCCCTGGAAGCATGTCAGTGGAAAGGGAGTTCTGAATGTGCAGCTTCTATCAAAGTCTAAATCTTTTGTTCTGTCCCCATAACATCACTGAGCAACGTTTACAAGCTGTTAGCTTTTAATAATGGTTCAGATTGCATCATTCTGAAGAATCCCTGATCTGCCACTGTGAATAAGGACATACCTTTTCCTAAATGATTCTCATCAAAATTCTGTCATAACATGACAAATTTCAGCAGAGAAAGGTCTTTTTTTCATCATGTCAAATTTTACTTTTAGAAAAACATTGTGATGTTTTAACTAGAATTTTCATGATCATGCAGATCAGCGATTCCATCTGACCTGCCCATTGTTTGCCAACATATGCTTTATGACAGCCGTTTCCCATTTCTTTTCATGATAGGTAGTGGAAAGCTTTAAAGCTACAATATTGTTGTGACTTTATGATTAATAGATTTACCTGAGCAGTGACAATAAATCCAAACTTCTAATCAACTTTGAATTGAATAATAATAAACTTAACCTTAAACTACTCCTTTTGTACAACCTTTGTTGCCAAAACTTTGTATGTCAAATAGCCATGATCATCAAGTATTTTTCATAATTTAACCCAAGAACAAATGTTTCATTTTCTTTGCACAATTCTCTGCTAAGCCCCTTCCACTGCATTCAAACACAGCAGTATGCTGCAGCTTGCCTCTTGTGTTTTTGTGTGATACTTTCCCATACTGACATTCACTTTGTCTCAACAAATCTATTAAAATGTCTCTAACTTTTTTTATTTATTTTTTGCGCACCATTGTTGGAGATTCATGTATGTATATATTTTGACTTTCAAGGAATAAATCATGTTGCTTGAGCTAGTTCTTTTTTGCCATAGACAAAGGATGATTCCAGTGTATATCTATAGTCAGTTGGTATATTAAAGTCCTATTGTACTAATTTAGACGACAATCGTGACCCTTTATGATTTGTGTAGATACATTCTTTTATGTGCTTTAAATGTGCTTTTTGGCAGAAGGGTCAGAGAGCACATTGAACTGATTTTTTAAATTGGCCTAAAAGTATTAAAGCTGCTCTCTTTTGGCCTCTTAAGCTGGTTTCAAAACCGTAGTGCTCTGTGCTGGTCCGTGCTGTGTAAAGGCCAAGCTCACGGCATGGACCACGCTCAGTCCAAGGGTAATTCTATAGACTTCACCCTGTTCACTACAAATGCGCAAGGAAAAACAAGAACTCATGCAAATCCTGAAGGCTGAGTGGATCTGAGCAATTGAGCACTGGTCAGAAATGTGTTTGATTTTGAGGATGCACTTAACTACCAGCTCCAATAGGCCTGTATAAGCTACTGCAGCCATTCTGCTCACATAACACAAATATCACACAACAGTCAAGAGTAAATTCTTTCTACAAGTGGGATTTTAGTTTGCACTGTAGAGTCTGGCATATGTCTGCTGTAAACCCAGACTATAGAAATACCATTGTTTTATTCAAATACTCTTGCCTTCACTCCACACACTGCTTTTTACTGAGTGTGTCTCTCTTCACAAACATGTAATACCATTTTAAAAGTTTTATTTTTTTAATATAATTTATTTCAGTTAAGTGCATATTTACAATATGTTGTGCAGTCCCAGTTTCAAAATAAAGTCTCATCTGGCTTCTTAAGAACCCAATTCCTCCTGTGCTAATGTCATATACTAATTATTGGTGGTTATTGGAGAGATTTTGCCTGTAGTACTTTATGACTAATTTGCAGCTTACATCTGAAAGCTGCTTTGTGAAAAACTTAGAACAAATCTGCCCTTTCCCTTTTCACTTTGCTTCATAATGTTGTACTTGTGTCAATAAAAATAGTTGAGACTGACTGTAGTTTGCCCCTCACCCTATATCTCCTGTGTTGACTGAATTGTTCCAGTTTCAAAGTAAAGAGTTGATATGATTAATATTGTATTTCACATCTAAAAACACTATTGGTCTTTGGTAAAATATGGAGTCCTATTTGTGATACTTGCAAATATAGGGTTAAGGGGTTTTAGCAAAGTGTAATATTAGCTCTAATACTAGAATAAATGGCTGTACCACGCACTTAATGAAATCAGAATAAAATAGATATTAACCAATGTATAAAGCTCTTTGATGCTGACTTGGTTGCCTGTGCCCAGTTATCTATTGCACAAGGCTGTCTGTCAGGAGGTTGTCCTCTTTTATGTAACCAATATGTTCCCGGGTTGTGTGGTTGACTGTGCTGCCCTAACTGTGGTGGTTCTTTCCCCACCACTCAGAGATAAGCTCACCGATTTGCCTTACCTGATGTTATGTATTCCCTCAAAGTGTGCTCCACCACAGACACAGCCCTGTTTCCTCTCAGCACAGCACCTGTAAGGCTTGTGTAGCCATTTTCCAGAGACTGTATGTCCAGACCTTCTACAGTTTCTATACCCATTTATATTTAAATGGGTAAAGAACCTCAATCCATTTCTACAGCAGATAAATTCAACCCAATAAATCAAATCTGTTTGTATAAAAATGGACAGGGTTGTTTTCTGTAAAGGTCTGAAACTCTGTCAGTGAACACAAGCCATGCTGTAGTTTGATGGGAACTTGGCTTTTTAATGTTGGTGTGTTTCCATGTCTCTGCAAAGAGACTGTCCTGGTTCAACAAGGTACAAGCTTCCAGCCTGTGGTTGGTTGGAAGCTCTTTTTCCATGTTTTTGAATTTTGAGGAATAAAACCTGAAATGAGTTTTCACCTCAGGTGATATCATACCAATTCAAGTGTTAACATGGCAACCTCTTGATGATGTGCACACATACGTTCATGTTGGATATATCTCTGATTACATGCAGAAATGGCTTTAGAGTGCTGTAGATAAATATTGTCATGTTGATTCAAAAGCTTGTCAGAGGCCTCTGTGAGTGATTTGACAACGTTCAATAACTGTATATTTTGTATTCTATTTTAGCTCCAAAGGAATGGCAGAGAAAAATAGAAAACATGTTTAAAAAAGCTTTGTTCCCTGAACTAAATCGTACTATTTGTGTTGTCAATTGAACAAATTGCATTCCTTGCCTGTGAATTGATGCATTTTTCTCCCTGCTCCTTACATCTCTTCTTTTACCTTAATTTCTTTCATTTTTTAGCCTTTTGAAGTTTGAAGAAATTTCTAGTTTGCAGAATGTATTACTAAATAAATGGCTTGTCATCTTGTATCTCTTATTTCATCACTCTTTTATCTGTTTGCACAAGTGAAACTTTCCACAATTGCAAAGAACATTTGTGTGAAGATAATCTGTGCTGGTATGAACTGTCAGACTCATAATCGGTAAACATGCTTGGATAAAACATGGACTAATAAAGATGTGTCCATTCTTTAGCATGCATCATGTTGCAGTGTCTGGATCTGTGATCTCCTCTAGTTGTAAAGTGAAACACTGTAGGATTAACAGTACAAGCAGTGAAATTGTAGGGAGTAATGTGACAGAGAGGCTGTGGTTTTGATGCAAAGCACCATTTGTACTTCAGAGAGTAAGAGTGATAATTTATTAGTTAATGTTGCTACAACATTTACGCCGTGTCTGAGTGGCCTTTGTGTCTCAGTCAAAGGTCTCAGTGCAATTAAACAGGGGGACTGATCAGGTAGATCCTGTGGAAGAGCCAAAAGTCTCCCCCCTCTGTGTCCTGCAGCATCACAGCAGTATTCAGGGGGACCCAGGTGAACACAACAGGCCTCATTCTTTCTCCACTCACGAAATGGTTAATTCCGTCAGTGTTTCCTCTGGAAGGTCTTCTGAGACATTTGATGCCACATATGCTGTAAAAAGCTTGTACCATCTCAAATGTCATTGTGCAAGACTAGATAAGGAGCTAAGACTCCATGGATACAGGTAAAACAAAATCTCATTTCACAAAATCCAACAGTTCCTTGCGTGTGCTCTTTGAACTGCACATGCTGCACTTCTTAGCTTGTTAACGTTCCTTAATATGATGTTAAAAAACGTTTCAAAAACTGCTCAGTGTGTGAGCCAGGTATCCTCAAGAGCAGCCAACCAACCCACTGCCATGACCAAAGCTTTTACTTTAGTGAATAAAATATTTTGTTAACTGCATGTATAGTATAACTGCTAAAAATAAAATGTTTATGCAGAGTACTTTTGTTGACGTCACATGTGAAACATGTTTTAGCGTTAAATTCAGGCTTAGTCACTCATTACAAAGACTCCGCTCAAATCCCACTGGCTCTCAATCCTACATTTTAAAGTGCACAAGTAACACATTTGCCTGGAGATTGCATTAGTTGAACCAGTTTTTTAAGTAAGGAAACAACTGTCCTGAAGTGTTCATATGAAGGTGTAGAATACAGGTGTGCGTGTATTCCACGAGAAGAGCCTGTGCTGGGATGAGGGGTCACACCAGTGCACGGCCCCCAGGATTAAGAACTGTGGGAGGGATTACTTTAAATGTCAACATAATGTCATGAGCCGTGTGAGAAGGTCAAAGGTTCAAGCACTGCTCAGTGGTCAACAGTTAACAGATCAGCTGTGGTCACTGTCCTGCTCCACATGAGTTATAATACCAGCCATCACAGTCAGTAACCCTCTGGACATCAAAATACACACCTGCTTGAATACTCTAACCTTTTTTCCCCCTCATAATTTCAATCTAACTTGTCTAACGTATTATTATTAGAAGGTTTTAGCACATGGGGACCTACCTAGACAGTAAGAGACCATGCAAACTGTACAGAGACAGAGTAGTTCTTTCTATGAAGCAGAAGTATTGACTATTATGCCCTGAGATCACACTATTTCCTCAACCAATGGGAACCCTAGTAATGTTGATAAACTGATGATAAATCTAATGAAAGTGAAATATTTGCTGTCTTTTTGCATCAGGTATTTACATTTTAAAATAAGTAATAATAAGGGTTTGTGTCTTTACAATTTTGAGCTTTTATGTTATGTATTCAGTTGCCCTAGGTTGGACTGACGGAAGTGAGGGTGCCAATCTGCGCCCTTCCAACCACCAACACTCACAGTCATAAATATGAAAGTTGGGTTAAGTGTCTTGCCCAAGGACTCAACAACAATACTCACTGATCCAGGCATGGGTTGTGCTTCCGTCCTTTGTGATGGTGGATGTGTGCCCAATGTGTGCACTGAGAAACTCCAATCAAAAGGATTCTATATATAATATAAAGGCAATATCAGTTTAAATAACATTTGATGGTGTTCTTCTCAAGCCTTTCTCAACATCTCACTGTCATTGTCTTAATTGAAGAAGTTGCAGATGACTTTGCAGGCCACATTGAGGCTGTCATACATAACATAGGTCTGTCTGACACCTCCCTGTCTCTGTGTGTGTGTGTGTGTGTGTGCGCGTGTGTGTGTGTGTGCGCATGTGTGTGCGTGTGCTTGTATAAGCTGCCCTGGGACAACGTGCCGGGCCTCTGAAGAAGTGCCGCCTCACAGATCCTGTCATGAGTGGTGCCACCTTACCTCGTTAGTGGCACAAAGGCAGTGCCAGGCTCCAGTGTTAGGATTAATGTCAGCTGTAGCCAGAGGCTGAGGCCTGGTGAGCTGTGGATCTACACATGATTAATGTGTAGTGACGTGAACAATCTCTTCATGCATACTGTTAAAGTAGGCTCCAAGAACAACTGCCTTTTCACCTCAGAATGCAGTGTGCTTTCTGTATGCACACTGTATATATAATTGCATTATACATACTCAGCTCATGTCTCATGTAAATGAAAGCTGGAGTCACTGTGACTTTAAGGGAAAGGAAAAGGAAGGTGTGCCTTTATAAAACTAAACTAAAATTACATGGACGAAATAAGTTCTTTCACAACTGGTCAGAAGACGGTGATAATCAGTAATGAGTTTCATCCAGAAGGACGTGTGTTTGCCTTTGACCAAAACTACACATGAGCCTGAGATGCATGCAAGATATTTGTCTTCTGGTGAATCATGTAACCATCTATATTCTGCAGATGACTTCAAACTTCTGAACTAAACAATAATGAGCAGGAAAATCAAATACAAACACAGCAATTAAATTGAAGACAAGAGTAATGGCTGTGCACAGTACTCTTCACAATGGGATTTGTTCTAGACGCTGAATTAAAATCCATCTTGTGTGAGTTCCAAAACTACAAATAAAGCACACGTTAATTATCCAATTATTATTGTGCCTTTGTGTTCGTTCATCTCCAGTCAATTCAACAGCGGTTTTCTGTGTTTTGAGACATGATTGTCCTTTACTGAGAATTGTATTGATGCCGCTGATTGCGTTCCTTTGGAGCTGCTCTGTTTACTGAGGCATGATTCAGGAGCCTAGTGTGTGTCTTCATCCCAGCTGTGTCCCACCTTATCCTTGTAGATGCATGTTGTCTGCTGCCTGTGTCCAGTCTGTCATGGAGAAACCCCAGGTTCAGTCATTCTGTGTGTGATCCTGTATCTGCACCTCTGTGGGTGTGGCTATATGTCCTGTAAAAGCACCCATGGGTGGCACGCTTCATGCCTCTGTCTCCCCGTACATGTCTTTCATATGCACCCTGCTCTCTCCTCAGGACCCAGACATCCTGTTTTTCCGTGGTTTCAGCTAAAGCCCATCCTCACTGTGGACCAGCTGTTCTCGGGACACTTGTGAACACAAGGACATCCAGAGTGCCCCATAAGCTCCCACTGTGCCATACAGAAGAATGAGACCAATAAAGTCACCTTCTTAACAAGCTCACACTGTCAGTCCACTTTGAACCATTCTGTATTAGTTTAACTGACTCAGTATCCTATCCAAAAGCAATAAGGAGTTTACCGCAGTTTACAGTAAACCTCAAATAGAAACTGTAATGCTGTGCTGTGGCATTACTGACAATACACTTGATTATTTATTTATTTATTTTTTACAAAAACACATTTCTTTACAAATTATAGAAAAAGGTGAAGAGAAAGCTTTGAATGTTTCATGTATTTTGACCAAACCAAAAGGTAATATCCACTTTTACATACAGAACTGAAGACAAAGCTAAAATCTCATAAACAAACAGGAACATGCAGAAGCTCTTTTTACTTTTTGCTTCATAATGAATTAGATGATCCGAATACCTTTATTTGTCACCAAAGCGAGAAATTGCAGTATTGCAATAGAAAAATACAAGAGTAGTAGCAGTAGGGGAAAAAATCCAAATAGATATATTTAATCTAAATATTAACTGAATAAATTGTAAGCAGCTTTGCAGCTGAATTGGAGTGAAAGGTCAACTATGTGTTGCTGTGGTTCTTTGAGCCCCTCAGTGTCTGTGTGCAGCACAGTCCTGTGTCCTGTCACACTGTCACACTCTGAACTCTGCATTCTCTCTGAGTTTGATTCACATGGTTTTACGTGCTCTCCACTCCATGACATGTTCTCAAAACAATTGCTTGACAGCCATTACATTAATTACAGTGAGACCAAAGGATCAGCACAGAGGTTAGTCACTTTGCTCCTTCTGTTATTCACACCTTTTATTGCTCCACAGTGGTGGTTTAATGGTGAATGTGAAATCTTCTAAAAGACAGCACTTCTTAAAACAGATGTTCTAAAGGTCAGTGTGGTGCATGGGAGTCTCAACACGGCCTTAGAGGAGGCTTTACCAGGTGTGCTGGAGCTGAATGACCAGAGACACCAGACACCTCTCCTCCCATGCTCTACCTGAATGCAAAGAATAATAAATGCAGTTTTCAAACAAGGCTTTCTATGCTTATTAGAGAGGGTGCAACTGTCATTACATCATATTAACTCCTTATATTGTCTTTTGGACTATTATCTATGACAAAACAACTCTGAAAACATTATGTCCAACTTGTCCTATTCCCAAAGATTCCTAAGTCTTATCCACATGAGCCTGTAGTGCGGGTGCTGTATCCTGTCTCAGCTTTCAGCAGCAGGTGTAGAGGATGTTCCTGCAGAGAGTGGGCCCAGAGAACAAAAGTTTCTGGCCTGACCATTGAGTATGGTCGCCTCAGTGCAGCAGCACAGCACTGAAAAGACCCAAACAGAATGGGAAAATACACTTTGAGAAAGGTTGAAAGTTGCAGAGAGGAGTGACTTGAATTAGGGAGAAGATAATGAGCAGACACACTACGCCATATTAATGTGCTGCTGATTTCTAATGGTTTTTATGGTTCTCTTTGATACTTTTCATTTGAGAGGTGGGATGCTTGGCCTTGCC